CAATATGTAATCCGCCAGCAAAGCAAGCAATGCCTTTAATGTCCCGCCCGCCCGCCCGACCAAAAGAATCAGCTTGTAATCCGCCACAATAGTAATCAACTTGTAACCCGCTGCCACATGAAATCACTTTGTAATCCGCCACCAAACCAACCAATGTTTTTAATGTCCCGCCCGCCCGCCCGACCAAAGGAATCATATTGTAATCCGCAATAAAAGAGAATTCATTCGTAATTCGCCACACAAGCAATCATTGCCTTTAATGTCCCGCCCGCCCGCCCGACAAAAGGAATCAATGTGCAATCTGCCACAATGAGAATCAGTGCGCCACCCGCCACACATGCAATCAATGCCTTTAGTGTCCCGCCCGCCCGCCCGACAAGAATAATCAGTTGATAATCCACCACGCAGGGAATCAATATATGTAATCCGCCACCAAGGCAACCAATGCTATTAATGTCCCGCCCGCCCGCCCGACCAAAGGAATCATATTGTAATCCGCAATAAAGGGTTACCCCTAGGGCCTAACCCTAGGGCTACCCTGGTGCTACCCCCGGGGCCCACCCCTAGGGCTACCCTAGGGCTACCCCTTGGGAAGCCTAGGGCCTGGGTAGGGCCTACCCTTGGGAAGCCTAGGGCCTTGGGTAGGGCCTACCCTTGGGAAGCCTAGGGCCTTGGGTAGGGCCTACCCTTGGGAAGCCTAGGGCCTTGGGTAGGGCCTACCCTTGGGAAGCCTAGGGCCTTGGGTAGGGCCTACCCTTGGGAAACCTAGGGCCTTGGGTAGGGCCTACCCTTGGGAAGCCTAGGGCCTTGGGTAGGGCCTACCCTTGGGAAGCCTAGGGCCTTGGGTAGGGCCTACCCTTGGGAAGCCTAGGGCCTTGGGTAGGGCCTAGGGTAGCCAAGGCCCCCGGTGATCTATACCCCTCGTCGTGACCTTCCTGGGGCTCCTCCCCCTCCTCCTGGTCACGAGTGGCAGAGATTGCACGGATTTTTTCTTTTTCTTAACTGTAATAGGGTCCGCAGAGGGACGGCAGTGCCACCACCTGGATAAGGCGCCCAGGTGCATGGCCTCACCCCCACATCCCTGCGGAACCTCAATCATAGTTGCGTTTCTCTTGAGTGCAGTGACGAGGCGTTCCTCACTGTATGTCTTAAGTGTAAATGCACCTCGAGCCACGGACAGATTCGAGGGCTGTCCAAGAGCTGCGAGAGACCCACCCGTCACACCCTGGACAATTGGAAGCTACTGGCGAAGGGGAAACATCCTAAGCGCCCAGGGGTTACAGTCGAGACGGGTCCCTGCTCTCTCCTTTAATTCATCCTCGTAGCCGTCCTTGTTAAAAAACATCCTACTCCTCCTCCTCCTCCTCCTCCTCCTCCTCCCCCTCCTGTCTGGCGCCGCCGGCGCCCAGCAGCTGCGCCGCCGGCTCCTTCTCGATCGCTTCGTCGAGCCGGGCCGCGGGCACGCGCGACTCCGCGTCCCCGAGCGCTGTGTGGAGGGCAGCCACCTGGGTTGCTGGGCTCTCGGGCGGCTCGACCGTCACGGGGCCCGCCAGCGCCGCGGTGCTGAGCGCCTGCAGCAGCGCTCGCGCCGGCTGCTCCCAAGCCCCGCCCAGGGCCGCTGGCTGAATGCCGTCGCCGGCGGCCTCTGCCTGCAGCTCGGCGCGCAATTCCGCGGGTTTGGCCGCTCCCTCCTGGAACTCCTTCTGGAGCGCTGCCTCGGTGGCGCGGGCCTCGGCCAGCGCGGCCTCCGCGGCTCCGGCCGCCGCGGTTGCCTATTTGCGGCTCGGGTGGCCACCCTGGACACGTGCGCCTCCAGGATGTCCTGGCGCCGCGCCCTTCCCTCCTCCTCCTCCTCCTCCTCCTCCTCCTCCTCCTCCTCCTCCTCCCCTCCTCCTCCTCCTCCTCCTCCTCCTCCTCCTCCTCCCGCCTCTCCCCCTCCCTCCCCCCCCCCCCCCCTCCCTCCTCCCCCCCCCCCTCTCTCCCTCCCCCTCTCCCCCCCCTCCCTCCCTCCCCCCCTCCTCCCTTCCCTCCTCCCCTCCCTCCCCTCCCCCTCCCTATTCCCTTGCCTCCCCTTCCCTCCTCCTCCTCCTCCTCCTCCTCCTCCTCCTCCTCCTCCTCCTCCTCCTCCTCCTCCTCCTCCTCCTCCTCCTCCTCCTCCCTCCTCCCTCCCGTGGAAGAGAAGAGGGTTCCTCGCGCCCCCCCTCGCCCAGGGGCGCCCACAAGCCCCTGCCGTCGCCCCCGGCGCGGGACTGCTCGCCGCGCCGGCATGTTTTACACCCTGCCGCGCCGCGCCGCGCCCGCGCGGTCCCCGACGGCGCCGGCCGCGACGGCGACGGCCCCGACGGCGACGGCCGCGAACGGCGCCGGCCGCGAACGGCGCCAGCCCCGACGGCGACGGCCGCGAACGGCGCCTGCCGCGAACGGCGCCAGCCCCGACGGCGCCGGCCGCGACGGCGACGGCCGCGACGGCGACGGCCGCGAACGGCGACAGACGGACGACGGGCGGCGCGCGACGGTGTCGGACGACGGCGACGGCGACTGCGCCTGCGACGGACGGCGACGGGCGACTGCAAGCTGCATGAACAGGTCCGCGCGGACTTTTCGGATCGGCGCAGGAGCCCCCCTGGTGGCGCCTTCGGCGCCGCCGCCGTCGTTTTCCGCGTGCCAGGGCGAGGAGTTCAACGCCGATCTAATCCGCGCCGACGACGGGCGACGGGCAACTGACGCGACGGCGATGGCGACGGCGCCAGCGACGGACGACGAGCGACGAGCGACGAACGGCGACGACCGCGACGGCGACGGACGAGGACGGACGACGGGCGACGGCGACGACGGCGACGACGGCGACGACGACTACGACGACGACGACGACGGCGACGGACGGGTAACGGACGATGACGACGGACGACGGACGACGACGGACGACGACTGGCCACGGGTGGCCGACGACGACGCTGGGCGCCCGCAGGCCGCTGGAGGCCTCCCGAGGTCTTTGGAGGCCTCCCCCGAGGTTCCCGCGGGTCTCCACGGAGCCGGCGTGGAAGCGCGCCAGAGACTCTAGGCCTCTAGGACCCCATCTGGGAGGCCTGTAGAGACCTGCTTCTATCGGGAGCGTCCGAGAGACTCTACGAAAAAGTGCGCAGAATGTTCCGTTGATCTACTGAGCGTTCTACGCATGGCTCGTGGATTTGACGGGGAAATCAGCGATGTGGTAGATCAATTCTGTAGTCGATCCCCTACTGGAAAGAGGGGGGTTGTGACTGCGGGGGGGGGATCTCGTCGCAGGGGCCAGGATATCTCCCCAGACCTCGTGTCCCCTCATTTTTTTTAAGGCGCCCCCTGGTCCACCCCTCGTCCGCGCACGTGCCTCGGGCCATGATTTGCGAATCCCCCTCAGTGGACGCTCCTCCCTTGGACGCCTCCAATTCTAGGCCTCCCAGACGGGGTCGGAGTAGTGCGGTCGGGGGACTCCGCCGCATCGCCGATGCGTCGCCGATGCGGCTCGATGTGGAGCCCGATGTTCTCCATCTAACTAGTCGGACCCCATCTGGGAGGCCTCTATGGAGTTAAGTCGGGCCTGTCCCTCTACAGGAGGGATATTCAAACATAGTAACAAATAGTATGGGGACTATTTTTTACAATTTTTAAACATTTTGGGAGTATGTTTTGAGTATTTTGAATTTTCCGCCCACAAATCCCCCTGTAGGGGGACGCCCGACTTAACTATGGAGTCAGGGGCAGCTTCAGGGGGGATAGGCTCAGGAGCAGATGCATCGGCGCCCAGGCTTCGATGTTCGAGGTTTCCGAGGTCCGAGGCCTTCGGACGTTTTTTCGTCGGTCCTCGGTGGTTTGTCAGCTCGGGGGCTGCTCTCCAGCAGCTGCGCCTCGCCGAGAGGCGTCCAGGGGTGCCCAGATCGTCCCGGACGGCCGCCGGAGGCTTGAGAGTTATGGCCCGACAGTCGTGGGTGTCCAGGAGGGAAAGGCGAGGACTAGAGGGGGGGGATGTCCTGGTTGGGGCCGTGAGGTCGCCCCTCTGTCATAGGCCCCTCTGCCAATTCGTAGGTCGAAAAGCCCCCAGGGTTGGGCAGTCGGCTCAGGGGGGGGATGCATCGGCCCCCAGCCGCCCATTCATCGCCGACAGGGGCCCCACCTCCTCCTCCTCCTCCTCCTCCTCCTCCCTCCCTCCCTCCCTCCCTCCCTCCCTCCCTCCCTCCCTTCCTCCCTCCTCCCTCCTCCCAACCCGCCCAACCCGCCCGGGAGCGTGCGGGCTCGCTGTTTGGAGCGTGTCACCGGCCTATCGGCGACGTATCGCTGACTCCAGGTCGATGCTCCCCCCCCTGACCAGGGTGACCCACAATGGGGCCCAGCTGAAAGGGTAGTGCAATAGATTTGGGGCAAGTGTATTACACATGTATTGTGCCAGAGAATTGTTTTGCATTGTATCGCAAGTAGTGCATGGCACGCGAAAGTACAGCAATACATCTGCGCCCCGAAGTGTATTGCACGCCCCAAATGTATTGCAACCCCACAAATCTATTGCACCACCCCCTGGTCGCTGGACCCTCTTTGTTGGGTCAATCCGACCTGAGCCGGTTCCCCCTATCGTTCCCCGTCTCCCAGGAGACCTGCCAGAGGTCCCGAAAACACCGAAAGAGCATCCGAAACGACGACGACGACGGCCGACAGACAGACGACGATGACCGACAGACAGACAGACAGGCAGGCAGACAGACAGACGGACAGACAGACGGACAGACAGACGGACAGACAGACGACAGACGACGACGACGACGACGACGACGACGACGACAAACGACAAACGACAGACGACAGAAGACGACAGACGACAGACGACAGACGACAGATTGCAAACGGCAGACGACAGACGACAGACGACAGACGACAGACGACAGACGACTGCGACGGACGACGACGGCGGACGGCAGCGGCGGCGACGGCGGCGGCGCCAGCGACGACCCACGGGGCCTCCCGCTCAGAAGGTCGTGGCAGCTGGACCCCGGGAAGCCCGGCAGGCCCCGCCGCAGCGGCGCGGGGTGGGGTGGGCGCGGTGGCTGTCGCGGGGGAGTTGCTACTTGCTGGCTTGTGCCCGATAGTCTGCTGGTGGTGCTGCCGACCCAGACCTTTCGGGGGCGTCCGGGTGCTTTCTTTGGTTCTCAGAGAAGAATGTTACTGATCCCGCTACCCTTGCCTCGTTTTCGCCTCCTTAGGCCTCCTGGGAGGCCCTCGTCGCCACCGCTGGATTCGCCCTGGAATTCTGGTCAGAACGCACTCGGAGAGGTCGGGGTGCTTTACGCCCGATGATCTGCTGGTGGTGCTGCCGACCCAGACTTTTCGGGGGCGTGTGAGAGCAGGGCGCGAACAAAACGTTGTCTGCGTGCCGTTTTCGTTTTCCCGTTTTGATCTCGGGCGCCAGCGCGCGGCCGTCGTGTTTTCGGTTGGCGCTTTCGCGGGCGACGGTTTGGACAAGAAATGGTTGTCTGCGGGATGGCGCTGTTTTCGTTTGTTCACCGTTTGAAACGCAAGCGGTGCTCAAACCACGAACGACGTTTTGCTCGCGCCCTGTCCGCGAGGTTTCGTTGGTTATCGGAGGAAGTGTTTTCGTGGGTGCTTCGAGGTTTTCTCGCCGCGGCATGCCTTGTAGCAGCTGCGCGTCGTCAGGAGTCCGTATCGTCCCGAACGGCCGCCAGAGGCTTGAGAGTTCTGGCCCGACAGCCGCGGGTGTCCAGGAGGGAAAGGCGGGGACTATAGGGGGGATGTCTTGGTTGGGGCCGTGAGGTCGCCCCTCTGTCATGGGCCCCTCAAGAGGGGGAGGCGAGGATCCGTGGCCATTGCGGCTTGCGCCATTTGGGCTGCAGCATGTGCGTTCGTTGAGTTCTCCTGCGACGAGTCGGGCCCGCGTAGCCTGCTCAGTCCTGGCGGCCATGGTTGCCCAGAAAGCCCCAGAGTCCCCAACGGAACAGGCAGCTGGGCTGTCGACGTCTTTGTGTCCTGGTTTCGTGTGGGACACCAGTTCACCATCGTTTGTCCCCAAGGCCAGCCAACTCTACGCCTTCAACGACCCGCTTCGGCAGGCTGGTCCCGCTCAGCGCGGGACCTGTGACTCTGGGGCAGCGGCTTCGACTGGCGCCCTCGAGATGTTGGCATTGCCGCCGCGCGCCTGGCACGCGCCACGGGTGCGGCAGGTGCAGCAGGAGTGGATGCGGTGTTTGCAGGTGGCTGCCAGGCTCGCCGCAGCCTGCAGCCGGACACCGCCGCCGCAGACCTTCTCCCCTAGTGCGGCTGGCTCTCTCTCTCTCGGATAGGACTCTTCACACACGGGCACACGACTTCTTCATTCCGCTGGACCATTTATCTTCACTCTGGCGGCCAAGACTTGTGCTCTTCATTACAGGACTCATGGGTGAACCGTGGTCCCTGCGTGTGCGGGTTGCCTGGGGGTTGCCGGCCATGTTCCTCCCCCCCTCTCTCCCCTGCATGTGCGTGGTTGTATATTTGTTCTCAATATTTGTCCTGCCCCTTCTCGTTCTATGTTGTATATATATACATATCGGCTACGAACACATTGCCTAAGCGAACGAAGCGAAGCGAAGCGAGGAGGACAAGAAGGACGAGGAGGAGGAGGAAGAGGAGGAGGCGGAAGAGGAGGAAAAGGAGGAGGAGGAGGAGGATAAAGGAGAGATGGAGGAGGAGGAGGAGGAGGAGGAGGAGGAGGAGGAGGAGTAAACAGCAAGAGGAAGAGGAAGGGGGACGAGGAGGAGGAGGAGGAGGTGGAGGAGGGGGACGAAGAGGATGAGGAGGAAGATGGGGAGGAGGAGGATCAGAAGGAGGAGGAGGAGGAGGAGTAGGAGGAGGAGGAGGATGAGGAGGAGGAGGAAAAGGAGGAGGTCGAGGAGGAGGAAGAGGAGAAGGAGGAAGAGGAGGAGGGATCGAGGATGTGATTTTCCTCGAGGCTGGGCCTCCATGCAGCGGTCGGGGGCGCGCGCTGGCCATCGTGGTGCTTGTCGTCAGCGGGTGGTGTTGGTTCTGCCGATGCCGCGGGTTTCGCAGCGTCCGCTTCGCCGGGCACCCGCGGCCCGCCGCATCGGGGTTGAGCAGGGGCAAGCGGCAGCAGCAGCTGCAGAGACCTCCGCCGCGCGTGTGCCGGTTACCGTTGCGCCCGGCCTTCCTTCGCTGCCGTTGTTCGCTTTCCTCTACCGCTCGCTGGGCCGAGCCGGGGAGAGAAAGTCGTCGTGCTTGGGCTGCCGCCTCTCGCCACTGTGCGCGCCCTGCCCGTCCCAGGAGTGTGGCGTTCTGCGGCTTTTCCGAGGCCTACCACCTCATGCTGGTGGCCCCGCTGCCGGTACGCAGCTGCATGTACCTCCCTGGCACCCCCGCGCAGACCTGCGTGCTCTGACCTTCGTCCTCTTCCTCTTTCGCTTCGTGCCTTTTTCGCTTCCGTTGCATCCCACCGCTCGCTTTGACCAGCGCCTGACCGTCTCGCACATTTTTGCGCCCGCGAACTTAAAGTCCCAGGAGTGTGCCGATTGCATCGGGACCCAGTGCTCTTGACCCAGAGCTCTTGGTTCCTTGCCGTCACCGCTCTCCTCCTGCGCGGTCAACCTGGCAGCGTGTCCGACGTCTTCTGGACTTGGTCGCCCAAGGATGCAACTAAGTGTCACTACGATGCAACTGCCCTCTTCTCTCGCCATGGCCATCCCCCGCGCTGTGGCATTTGGCGTCTGGCCGCAGACCCAACGATCGAGCCCCACTGCGCCATGTCAGCATCGTACGCAATTGAGCTCATTTTTTCTAGATTCGCCGGCCAAGGAGGAAGTGGATGATGGCGGGGGACTGTTGCGGCGGGGCGTGTTTGCAACGATCAGGGTACATATGCATGTGCGGAGGTATCATCGGGCGCAATCTTGCGGCGAACGCGACAAAACAAATAATGCGTATTTCCAGCCCCCAACCCCGCGCCGAAATATGATGAGATGATCTTGTCCCCTTTTCATTCGCTCCCTCATCAGCAGCGCCAGCAGGAAGATGAGGAGAAGGAGCAGGAGGATGAGGAGGAAAAGGAGGAGGACGAGGAGGACGACGTGGACGAGGAAAACGAGGAGGAGGAGAAGGAGGAGGAGGCGGAGGAGGAGGAGGAAGAGGAGGAAACGGAGGAGGAGCAGGAGGAAAAGGATCAGGAGGAACATCGGCCCGAGGCGCGGGCCGTACTCGTGGCTGGACACCCCGGCCAATGCGCCCACGCCGTTGCCGAAGCGGCCCAAGGCGGGTTTTTTGGAAGCTGCTTGGAATCTTGCTGTCGTCGTCGTCGTCGTTGTCGCCGCCGCCGCCGCCGTTTGCGAGGGTTTTTGATGTTTTCGGACGGCGTGTTGACCCGCATCGGGCCTCCGCAGGCATCTCGTGACCTCCGACCGCTTCGGGGACGGCCCGATTCTTTCGAGACGCGGGCCCCTGACCTCCCGACCGCTGGGCTCCCGGGGATTGTGTGAAAATTTGCAAGTCGCCTCCATACGATTCGTCGCCACCGTCGCCGCCGTCATCAGAGTCCGTCGTCGTCGTCGTCGTTGTCGAGTGCGTCCGTCTGTTGTCGTCATCGCGTCTTGGAATGAAGGTAATTGCACAGGTTCTGGTATGTGGAACAGTTTCAAAGTAGGAACAATTAGGTTGCGAAAATGGATTGTTATCACATCTTCAACATATATACATATGCCATAGGAGTAGGCCCGCCGCAGGCGCCGAATCTACCACCAGACAACAAATTTCGATCGCAAGCCCGCCGCAGGCGCCGATTTGGATTGAAGCCTGAACCAACATGAGGATGGCGAGCCCGCCGCAGACGCCGATTTTATCGCCAGAACGCGAATTATTGTCGCAAGCCCACCGCAGGCGCGGATTTTTCATTGAAGCGATAAAAAACATGAGGGCGGCAAGCCCGCCGCAGGCGCCGATTTTATCGCCAGAACGCGAATTCTTGTCGCAAGCCCACCGCAGGCGCCAATTTTTCAGTGAAGCATTAAATGGAATGAAGATCGCGAGCCCGCTGCAGGCGCCGATTTTTTCAAGAACCACGGGGAGATCGCAAGCCCGCCGCCAGCGCCGATTTTTTCTTGCACCGAAAGGGCCCTTCCCCTACCACGACGCCGCGGAGGCCCCCCCATTGGCGGGCCTGCCGCCCCCCCCTTGGCCGGAAGAACAAAGAAATAACGGAACGACTTGCCGACCCCAGAGCAACCAACACGCGCGCGATTTGAAACGAATTCGCGTGGGCGGAACCCCCTCCTCACTCCGATGTTGGCCTCTCGGGGCCTTCTTCGGAGGACTCTTGAGAGTTTTTGCGGCTTCTTTGGGGCCTCTTGCGGGCCCTCTTGGGGGCCCTTGTTGCCTCTCGGGGCCTGTTTGGGTGGGTGGGGGGGTGGGGGGGGATTTTCGCATCCGGAGGGATCGCAAGATTGCTTCCCGCAAATCATGCGGAAAGGCGCGGGGAGCCCCAGAAGATTTCTGAGTTTGGGCTCCAGGTCCTTCAAAGAATTTTGAAGACAGAGGGCTGAGGCTCAAGAGTGAGGTAGATGACGTCGGAACACGCCCGCTCCGTGCCTCAGGGCGCGGTGGCGCTTTGGGTCGTGGAAGTTCTCTGGCTATCTGGAGCCGTATCGCGGGCCGTCTTGAGCCTTGCCGCATGTGGGGACAATTTTTGAGCCATCGTGGGCGCTTTGATGGACCTGCTATAAGGGGGTCCGGGACAAGGGTCGCGCCCATCCCCGACAAGGAATTCGTTTGAGAAAGCAGGGATCGCCGACAGGGCCGACGGGATGCACTGTTGGGCCCCGTTGCAAGAGTCACGCCGCCTCGTTTGCGACCCGCGCGGCTGCGCGTTTCGTTTGGCGTTGCGCCCCCGCCCGCCCCCCCGCCCGGGACGGCCCGCCTCTCTACCCAATGGTGTTTGCGGCAGGGGGGTGGGGCAAGGCTCTTTGGGATGGGGCGGCAGCAATCCGCCGCAGGATTCCCGGCGGCGTCGCGCCGTTTCACCTTGCTCAGGCCGGCGGCCCCGGGGAACACATCATTTCGCTTATATTTTTTTAACTTGTTTCATTCCTTTTTCTGCATTTTCAATCGCTTCGGCTGACCTATTTTTCACATTTATTTTATAATGTTTATGAAAAATAGGTGCGCCCAGCGAAACCTATTTTTTGTATATTTTCCGTTATTTTCTGCATAATAGATATCGAAAAATAGCGAAACATAGCGAAAAGCAGCAACGCAAAAATGCGCGGAATTGTCTGTTTTGGCCGCCGCGAAAAATAGCGAGAACATATATAAAACAAATGGGCGCCGCAAAAGTCCCCGGGGATGCACCTTATATATATATATATATATAATATATATATATATATATAATTGTTTTCTCTCTTCTGCCTTTTTTCACCATGTTTTCGCTATTTCTCTGCCCGCCCCTCCTCCTCCTCCTCCTCCTCGCCCTCCCTTTCCGCTTCCTCCTCCCCGCCTCCCCCTCCTCCCCCCCCCTCCTTCCTCCTCCCCCCCCCCCCCTCCTCCTCCCCCTCCCCCCCCCCCCCTCCCCCCCGCCCCTCCTTCCTCCCCCCCCCCGGCCATGCCGCCCAATAGGGGGGCCTCCGCGGCCTCGTGGGAGGGGAAAAGGCTTTTTCTGCGCAGGACAAAAACCGGCGCCTGCGGCGCTTGTGATTTCCTTATGGTTCTTGAACGAATCGGCGTCGATCGTCATTTCATTCACGTTTTTAATGACAAATCGGCGCTTGCGGTGGGCTTGCGCCATGAATTCGTTTTCTGGAATTCTGGTGGAAAAAATCGGCGCTCGCGGCGGGCTTGCCGCTTGTTGCGGCTTCAGTTTTTAATCGGTGCCTGCGGCGGGCTTGCAATGAGAATTCGTTTCCTGATCATAAGATCGGCGCCTGCGGCGAGCTTGCCATCTTCATGCCGGTTTTGGCTTCAATGCCGAATCGGCGCTTGCGGCAGGTTTGCAAACAGTATCCGCTTTCTTCTTATAAAGATCTAGCGTCGTTTGCGGGCTTGCGATATCAATGCAGTTTTTTTCTTTGATTCAAAATCGGCGCCTGCGGCGGGCCTGCGATAAGACCACAGCGACCCCCGCCAAGCCCAATTCAGCGCCTTCACTCCTTTCCGCATCAGCGGGGCTGGGGGCTGGTGCTCGTGGATGCAGCAAGCCTGCTGCGGCAGGGTTTCCACTCGTGGGGGATGCTCGAAAAATGTCCACCCCCCTCCTCCTCCTCCTCCTCATCCTCGTCCTGCTCCTCCTCCTCCTCCTCATCATCATTTCCCTCCTCTTTTCTTCACCTTCCTCCTCCTTTTCCTCTTCCTCCTCCTCCTCCTCCTCCTTCTCCTCCTCCCTTTACCCCTCCTCGTGTTCGTCGCCGTGGTCATCCTCGTCCAACTCCTCATGTTCCTCCTCGCTCTCCTCTATCAACTTATTCCTCCTTCCTCTCCTCTTCCTCGTCCATATCCTTCCCCTCCTTCTCCTCCTCCTCCTCCTTCTGCTTTCTATGTTTCAATGCGATTCGCCATGCGATGTCACGCAACTTCTCCGGCTGGAACTCATTTTCTCCTGACAGCTGCGCCGTTGCAGTTTCTTTCCCTTCTCTCTGCTTTGCCGTCGTGTCGCCGCCGCCGCTGCCGTTGAATTCGGGGCCTTGCATATGCTTGTCATTTTTGTAAGAACATACTGCAGCGGCCTAATTTTGAACTATTTCACATCACCTATTTTTCCACGTTTTTCATGCAATTGAACTGTTTCCTGGATTATGAGGCTGTCCATTAGTAGCTGCATTGTAAATCGCGCCCCTGCGTCGTCCTTGTGCTTGCGCCGCCCGCCCCCCTCCATCCTGCTTTTCCCTCCCTCCTTCCCCTGATCGTACTCCCAGTTCCTCCCACCTTCATCCCCCTCCCCCTCCATCCACCTTTCCCCACCTTTCCCTCGTTTTCATTCCGTTCGCTTTCCTCCATCTACGCTCTCTGCGCGAATCCTTTCGTGCTGAGTTGCGTGAGGATGTGGCTCGCTCCAATGATTTCCAGGTGTATTCTTAGGCTGGAATCTGAGATCCACCTTCCTCGCTCGCGAACTTTTTCAAATGAGAGGCCCTCTGCCCGAGAGTTGCTGGCCCATCCTGCCCGGGGGATGTGAAGGCCCCACCCCATGGAGAGGCCCAGGGAGCCTTCGACGTCCTTCAGGAGCCTGCGGCACTGGGCCAGGCTGTAAGGGAAGAGCGGGTTGCTTGCTGGAGTGGGCCTCGTGAAGTCCCTTAGCACCTCCATGATGTCTCGGTCCTCCTGGAAGATACGGGCCACATGAGGCATCTTGAGCTTGGTACTTGTACGCGGAGCTAGAGCTATTGACACAGAAGTTGTGCCCATGTCCCTTCCGATCTCGCGGGAACACCAGACCTTCAGGTGATGCTCCCAAGAGCTCCGAGGGCCGTAGGCCCGTATGGTACTGCGCGATAAAGGGCGAGACCCAATCGATGATGCCCTCTGGAACCAAGGTGAACCCTCAGGAACTTGCCAGGTCATTTCCCCAAGGGTACTGAATGCTTCCTGCCTGCATTTTACCCATCCTGCAATCACGGCCTTTCTCCACAACAACTTGCCCCTCATCCGAGGGAAGAATAATTCAATTGACGCAACAACATTGACAAACGTTGCCGGCGTGAGGTATTCAATATGACCATGTTTTTGAACTCAACCAAGAGATCGTCCCACTGGTTTGGGCCACTGGGACGCACGCCGCGCTGGAGCGCCCAGGCTGAAAAACTGGAGCCCAGCACTCCGATACACTTCGAGCGTTTTTTCGGTCACCCTGGCAGCCTGATCGGGGTCAAGCCGACGCGGCCCCGCCCGTCCAGCGCTACCTTCTCCTGGACAACGCATCTGCTGTCTGATGTTCGGTGTCCACCCAGGGTAAGTATAGCTTGATGCTTGTAGCCACTGAAAGTGCACCAACCCTGCGCAGCAGGTAGTTCAGATGAGGGGTTGACGAGCGCCCCTTCGCCGCTGCTGCTGCCAAAGGTTCATCATCCTCCATGTTGCATATGGCGTGATCGTGGGCTCTCGCAAGGCACGAAAGGCCCTGGCACAACTTCACCACGGCGAGGCCTTCACCCAAGATGATGTGATCCGGCTGCCGCCACCTCCCCGCGCAGAGGTCGTTCCACATGCCCTGAGGGATCTGCAGCAGCTCACGCGGAATGCGGGACACTGGGATGCGCCCCCTCAGCTCC